TATACATTGCAACTCTGGTTGGCATTTCTATCAGCTGATTAAAAAAAATTTACCATGACAGTTTAATAAAGGTCGCTCACAATCCATGGCATATTTCTGCAATTGCATAAATTTGTCAGCTCTTATGCACCGAATCGCGAATAGCCCTCATATGTTCTTCATTCTGCTAGTTTGTGTAATTTTAACAAAACTCACCACCAATATATCGCAAGGAGAGTTCTTTGACTTACAGAAACACTTCGGATATCGTTTGCGATATCAACTATGCGATACCGCGTTATGAAAAAATTTGCGATATAATATCGCATTAGTTACAGAAAACCACTACTGGTGTGAGTAAGCTTTGGTCAATCGTGAGGTCACTGTTCAATCTGACAAAGCGGGACGACAGAGTCGAATATCTTTCGGCGACCGCGCTTCATCGGACCCGGAGCGATGCGCGAGCTACTTCATCCGGCAGTTTATGCTGCATTCCCCAGCGGACAAAGCCAAGCCTCGAGTGACAACGTGTGACGAGACGGCTGCACAAACTGCCAACAACAAGTGCGTTTCTTGTTTTCACCAGCGGTGAAGTTCAGGTAGCCACCGGGAAGGCGAAAGCCTCCAAAGCCATGGGACCCTTCGAAATATGCATGTTAATGCTGAAAAATTTGGGTCTTGCGGAAGTAGCGTATCCAACGGAGGTCCTCAATCTGTCAATGGCAACTCTCGTCATTCAAGACATCTGGAAGATGGGGATAGGGGTCCCACTGCTCAAACTGGGGAAACCAGCCAACAAAGGAGAGTCTTATTGTCCGATAACACTCCTTTCCCCGGTAGCGCAGACACTGGAGGCCTTCTAGTGGAGTTGGACCTGTCAAAAGCGTTTGACACCGTCAGCCACTCCACGCTACTAGAAGACGTAGAGGCCTCCTCTCTCCCACAGAGACTCCAACGGTGGTAAGAGACAAATCAAGAAAATATAGAAAAATACAACAGAGGGTTCCACCGGGTGATGTCCTTTCCCCACTACTGTTTAACTTTTATATTTACAAGCTCCCTCAACCACCAGAGGGAGTCTCGATTGTCTCTTACGATGACGATTGTTCGATATTGGCGTCTGGGAATGGAATTGATGACTTGTGCTCGAAAGTAAACGGGTATCTCTCCGAGCTTTCTCGCTTCTTCACTGCTAGGAGTCTAACTCTATCCCCTACAAAATCCTCTGCGATGTTATTTACCACCTGGCCAAAAGAGGTCAGACTACCGTTAGGTATTTGCGTCGATGATACACCAATTCCGACGGTGAATAATCCTAAAATACTCGGAGTAACATTCGACAGTCTGCTCTCCTTCTCTGTGCACACAACCGCAATTGTCAAAAAAGTACAGAGACGAAACAAGGTCCTCAAGTCGCTAGCCGGCAGCACCTGGGGCAAAGACAAAGAAACGTTGCTGGCAACCTACAAGGCAATTGGCCGGCCGGTTCTAAATTACGCCCCACCAGTGTGGTCGCCGGGGACCAGTGGGACGCAGTGGATGAAGCTACAGACAGCACAAATACCGCACTATGGACAGCGACCAGATGCCTTCTGATGTCGCCAGAACACCACCTGAACGACGAGGCGAAAATGCTCCCCATAAAAGAGCACAACACAATGCTCTGCAAGCAATTCCTAGTAGATAGCTACAGATGTGGACACCCGAACAGACACTTGCTAGCAGAGGAGCTCTCGCCAACGCATGTCAGAAGGCATCTTTGCGGACTGACGGACGAAATCCAGAGGTTCATAAAGCAGTTTATCGACAGGCTTTGGTCGGCATTCACAGGGAGTCAATCTCAAGTTACGTAGACTCCAGATCGGTGAATGCTGTCCTGAGTACACAACCTCAAGACATAGACAAGACGGAGCTTCGTCTGCCTCGGGAGACACGAACCACAATAGCCCAACTTCGCTCTGGCTACTGCGGCAGGTTGAACTCATACCTGAGCAGATTAGATGCAGATGTGCCAAACGAATGTGCGGCATGCGGAGAGACACCCCACGACTCGAATCATCTCTTCGTATGCCCGGAAAACCCGACGCAGCTAACGCCTCTGTCCCTGTGGACAAACTCTATAGAGGTTGCACGCTTCTTGGGTCTCTCGTGAGTTCAGCTTGACGACAACGACTGAGCAGCGTTGCCGAAAGTTTTCGCTGAAAATCCGTCAATTTACCCTAAAAACATCGTAATTTCGCCCAAAAAACCGTAAAATTTTTATTTATTTTACTTTTTTTTTAACAAAATTAAAAGTACAAACGATTTTACATACAATGATCCGTATGCATTAAAACTAAGCGGTTGCGTTTTCTTAAGAATGCATACCTGTCACTTAAATTTATTTTAACAAAGCAAGTTGAGTAAAAGGTCTGAAATTTTAAGAAAAAGCATTTGCTTAGGTTTTACATACATACATATCGTGGGCTTATATTCAATACCCTCTATGTGCACTTTTCACAAAAATGAGATTCTGATATAAAAATTCACGTAAGACTTAACTGTTACCATGTTTATACGATGCTTCAATTCGTTCTAAGTTAAACCATGTTATTTGGACACACACATGTAAACACATTCTTAAATCGAATTGAAACTTTTAACCGTGCCACCATAAATAACATTTTGAATGCGAGTTAAGAGTTGTTGAATCGTGTTAAGAGTGCATATAAACACGGGATTTGACCACACGGTTGTTTCATGCAACTCTGTATGAAGTAAAACATTTAAATAGTTCTTGAAATTATAAGGTGCAATCCCGTATTCCTCGTACTCGGACTAGTAAAACTGTCAAAAAATAAAAATTCGCTCAGAGCGAGAGAGTAACATTGAAAAGTACGGGATCGCTTTCTAGTAAAAAATGGCAACTTCAACATAACCTCCAAATTTCGGTTGTAAATTTTTGCTTATTTTGTATGTAAACACACTCAGCTCAAACATGTAAATAACCAAAAATACTTTCAAATTCATTAGAATCCACTTAAACAAGTAATTAAATACTTTTCAACATGAATTAGCAGAGTGCACTTTTCATTTGTTTACAACTTGGTTGCCAAACACACCACAGCTGATCGTTTGACACGTTTACCAGAATTTACCAGCAAAAAATTCTCGGACTAAAACTGGTAACTTCTGACAGAGAGAGAACCGTATTTACTCTCTTTTTTGTCCTCTCAATAGTCAGAGAACCGAGTACGAGATCGATTTCCAGTAAAATCTGACTGATTCTGACTATTTATGACGGGATCGCAACTACATTTAGACTAAAAGTGAAAGTACATAACATCCATTGCGACAACGTCACGGTCACCATCACCATCACCATCACCGTCAACGATGCTTATGCGTCAAGTTACACACTATCCGCGTGACGTAGCGTCCGAAAAATCATAAAATCGCTGCTAATCTTTGCAAAATTTGCGTTTTACTTTTGTACCAGCTTTTTTGACAACTGTCGGTGCCGGTGACGGTGACGCAATGGACGTTATGTACTTTCACTTTAAGCTTTCTTACAAAATTAATAGCTAATATCCTTCTTCATGGCTGTTTGGGCCTTTAATTATTATTTTGCCATGTTTATTATTTTCAAGAAATGACACATGTATTAACAGGGTTGCATCGGGATGAACTCTGTTTGAAAGCGTGTTCGATCGACTCATTTCTTTAGTTGCATATAAACACTTGCATTTCCAGCGAGCTACACTGACACGAGTTAATTCGATACCGAGTTTGATGCCATATAAACAAGCTATGTCATCGATGGTATTAATACTGACCTTGCATAACACTTGACAGAAGAATTTACTATTAAATTGCAAAGTCAGAATTAAAATCAGTGATGACAGGTAAGTTCCAGATGGGTTTTAACATGACAAAGTAGTTTTTGTGAAAATTCCATATAGAGGGTATTGAATATAAGCCCTCGATATGTAATTTAGTGGAAAAACTATAATAAAAAATCGTCATAAAAGAAATCGTCCATGATGCAATAATACAAGGTGGTATCAGTTGTGACAGCTCGATTTGACACTGCCTTAGCTCAGTAGAATAAGAAGAAAAACGGGAAGAAATGAATCCCCATTTGGGGGAAAAATATAAGATGTCATATTTTATTCTAAACAAAATTTGCTTTTTTATAGTATATTCGCAATGAAATGAAATAAAATAAGATATTATCCGGCAGGTTCTGCAATTCACTTCCGAGTGAATTTGAGTCAAGTTCGCTTGGAATTTAAGTTGGCAGGGGTTGAAATTCACTCGGTTGTGAATTCCAGAACCTGCCCGAATACCTTTTTGAGAAAACAAAATGGCGCATAGTCATAGACAAAATTAAAGTATACTTTAAGTCGTTTAAAGTATACTTTATATAAAGTGCACTTTAGGCTAGTCATAGTCGTCTTAAAGTATACTTTATCGGATAAAGTATACTTTAAATTTAATAACAGCTTAAGTTGTTATTAGCTGCAGAAAAGTGGAAGTGAATTTTATTAAGATTTGAAAAAAGAAAACAGAAATTGCTAAAAAGAAGAAACCGAAAATAAATAAAGAAAAAATGGACAGACTGGATGACATAGATAGAGATTTTGCCATTTTGGAAGATGTGCGGGAGTTTGGAAGTCGTCGAAAATTTTACAAAGCTGGAGGACAAAGATTTCTATGAGCGATATCGATTTGATAAGGTCACTGTCAATTTCTTGATCGATGTTCTCAATATTGAGCAGCCCAGGAACAATAGGGGACTTCCAATACCAATAAGCTTGCAAGTACTGACAACTCTACGCTTCCTTGGCAGGAATGTGCATCAAAGTGACATTGGTTAGTAACATAGCAGCCACCAACTACTTAAAACGTGGATATTAAATTAACGTTTTTTTACTTACATATCTCTTAGCCGATCTCCATGCAATGTCACAAACGACGGTTGGGAGAATAATAAAGAGCATTTCTAAAAGGATTGCGCTATTGTTACCACACTTCATAAGATTTCCAGGCAATAACGAACTAAGTGAAGTGAAAAGCAAGTTCTATGAAATAGCTCGCTTCCCGACAGTTATTGGTACTATTGATTGCACTCATGTTCGTATCAAGTGCCCCGCAAAGAATGTTGGCCAAGAAATGGCTGGCCATTTCTTAAATAGAAAAGGGTTTTACTCTTTGAATGTGCAGGTAGGCATATTAGTTTCCAGTTTGATTTATATATGCTCTTATATAATAAAGTTTACCGTTTGTAGATTGTGTGCGATGCCGATTGCAAAATTATGGATATTGTAGCTAGATCTCGTGGATCAAAGCATGACGCCATAATTTGGAGTGATTGCCGGCTTAGAACCAAATTGGAAATGAGGAGCGACCACAACGGCGTGTTGCTTGGAGATGCAGGTTATCCACTGTCTACAATACTATTAACGCCAGTAAGGAATCCATCCACCCCTAAAGAGGAAAGGTACATAGCTGTAAACTAAACCCGTTATCAACAAAATTGTCCCTTATACAAAATATTTTGTTATAGGTATAACAGATGTCACATATCCACACGCACTAAAATTGAGTGCTTAAATGGACAAATGAAATGCAAATTTCGCTCAATATTTGAGCGGCTTCGAGTTAATTTGGATACTGCCAAAAACATAGTGGTTGCCGTTGCCGTCCTGCACAATATTGCAAAGAAGAGGAACTTCTCATGTAAAATATTAAAATTGTTTAAATACCGGAATGAAAATATATTTTGTTTTTAATTTTAGATACGGAACCTTCTGTAAGGAGAATGGCCGACCCACTAGATCCTGACAATCATAATCTACCATCGACCTCGGGAAGAGCTTTTCGAAACGCATTTATAAACGCTCACTTTTAATAAATTAAAGTTATTTCCTCATTGCTAAATAAATACCTTTTGTTTTTGGTTTCAACATTTATTTACGTATAACAAAAAAAAAATTCAAAAATCAACAAAAACAAACAAATTCATCAGTCTTAAAACTTAAACTATCAGACAATGGTATCATATTCACAGCATTGTTACTTATATCTATATATTATATAGAACAAAAACAAAAACAAACAAATTCAATAGTCTTAATTTTGTCTTATAAAAAATTTGCACTTTAAATATCTCCTAGTGGATCAGTTGCCTCATTAGAGCTTTGAGCTTGTATTTGCTTGCGTAGAAGTGCAACTTGAAGTAAGTGCAACTCTTCCGCCTTTGCCTTCTTCCTCTTCTCGTTCTGAATCTGCTGCCGGACAAGCTCACATTTTAACTCCAAATACTCTTCGTTTTTTTTATGCATCCTGCACTGGTGGTCAAGTTCAGCTTTTGCATTTTCTTTCTTAAGCAAATGCATTTCTTCCA